CAGCGGGGCCGGGGTGGCCCGGCTGGGGGGCTGTGGGGGCCCAGCGGGGCCGGGGTGGCCCGGCTGGGGTGCTGAGGCGTGAACCCTGCGTGGCCGTGCCCAAACCCTTCTCGGTCACAAGGCCGTGGGGTGAGGGACTCCCTGGCACCAAGTCTCGGCTCCGCCACCCGTCCCGTGCGAGCACGCTTGCAAAGCCCTAGTCTTGCTCCTCGCTGGTTTTGGATGGAAGATTTGATAAACCTTGAGGCTGGCTCTCCTGAGCTCCTGGAGCCTCCTGTGAACCCAACGGGAGCTGCAGGTGTCCTCCCTTAGAAAGTGGGCATGTAGGCATCTGAAGTTGGGCATCAAATTAGCGATGAAAAGGTAAGCCTCCCAGAAGTTAAGGTGGAGAGGCTGTGTAAAATAAGAGTTGCGCTAAGCATCCGCATGCTGCGTTTGTCTCATAAATACTTACAAGTTGTGAAGGGTGAGGTGTTAATCAAAACGTGAAGCAAGCGCAGTGCAGCTAGGGGAGGCTGGTGTAGGTTATTGAATTAAATTTTTCATATGATACTTGTAAATTAAAAAATAGTGTTTAGTTTGTCTAGATTTCCTAGTATGCCCAGCCCTTGAATGAATGAGTGCTGGCTCTGTAAATAGCAAATCAGCCTTGTACTTCCAACAGATTAAAAATTTTAGCACAGTGTAGCATGTTGGACCAGATGTATTGATAGATTTCAAGCAAGCTGATGGAGCTCTACTCTAGGGTTATTCCAGGCTGGCGAGAACACCTAAATATGTATTTTAGCAATTGCTGATCTATTGTTCTGGCAAAACTTCCTGTTCTGAGTCCTTAAAATAACTCGTGATGTCTTGTATAGGATGAAAGTCACTAAATGTTATTGAACAATAAACGCTGATTCTAAATTGGCCTGCCAGAGAAAGCAAAAAAAAAAAAAAGACTCTGAAGGTTGTTTTGTCTCTATCATAAATAAACATGGGATTATTGTCAGCTCTTGAAAGTGTTTTAGGTCTGCTTATTTACGCATCAAAGGCAATGGGGATTTTGTTTCCTCTTTCAAGAAATGGAACTCTCTCAAATGATCTTGTTATTGAAATACTGCTCTCTCCTTTTGCTGGTGTGCAGAAGTTGGTAATACTTCCTAGTCCTCACTGTTAGCTTCTCACTGTCGTATACAGATGCTATAATCAGGCTGTGCTCCTGAACAAACTTTGTGGTACAAACCAAACTTATAAATCCAGCCATAAACTTAAAATGCATGATAAAATGATATCTTAAGTTCCTTGGTGGCATTAATTAAGTTAATAGAAATTCCCTGTTGTATTTAAAGATGCTTATATCTCCGCTGCAGTGAAGTTGCTGTGAGGGAAGACAGAACTTTCTGGAGCTATTGGACTTCTGTACCCTTGTGACTTCTACTTGCTGGCACTAATATTCATATACAATTTAAAGCTCTGGAGGAAGAATTTTTTCCTAAAACGAGGTGGCTTTTTTCTTGGTTTTTACTGCCTTATGCTGGAAACCTTGACATTTTTTTTGTTATAGTAAAGATGTACTCATCGATTTAGAGATTTCTGTTTGCTGCTGTAATATATAAATTTTGGCAAGATCTTTGACATGGGTACTAACTGTTCTGATATTGTCTCACCATTTGTTTAAATTATTACAAAGCACGCTGATGTGCAGATGTGATGCAAGAATTAAAACAAAAAAAGGCAACCCACAGAACTGTGCTGAGGTAATGAGTCAGAAGAACATGTCAGATCACAACATGATAACTTTTATTTCTGTTCTAATATGGTGAAAGTTCATACATCTTCTAGGCTACTTGGTCAAACCTGAGACAAATAGATAGTTTTGTGAGCAGCAAAAAAATCAGTGCTTGATTTCCTGTGAACTTTAATTGAATTACATAAGTATTCTTTAACTCTGCATATGGCTATGAAGTAACCTTCCTGTTACAAAAGCTGTAGGAATGAGAATTTTATAGAAGTATTAGGGCAGTAGTCAAGCTGCTTTGTTTGATTCTGAATGTTGGCTGACAACATTTTTTTTTTTAATTTTAATTTTTTTATTATTATTTTCTTAGAAAACCAAACTTTAGGCTGTGCTCCTGCATGCCTCTTCTTGGCAGCAGCCACCTCAGGCCATTTGTTCTGGCCAATTACTGCCACCTCTTGGCCACTGCACAGTTGTTCATGTGGTGCTGCGGCTGATCAGGGAACTGATCTGACTGAAGAAGTAGCCCAGTGGAAAAAGCTATTTTTCAGTCAGATTAGTTTCCTTGTCTGCATCATGGTGTAGGTGCCCAAAAAGTTATGCCACCAAAATGGAGGAGGCAGGGATGCAAATACAGTTGACCAAGAGCTGGGATTGCTTAAGCCGGTTCGTACCTGTCCTAGTGATCATTCAGTGATAGCATGACTTGACTTGGCAAACGGCTGAGATTCGGCACCGACAGGGAGGTGGTGGGAAGGCAGAGTGAAGCCTCAGCCTTTCAATAGTACAGGGTCATACGCTTTATCGTATGTACCTGCACTCAGTCATATGAGTTACTTTCCGTACTGATCTTACTGATCTCAAGTGCGATTCAGTAAGGAATCTGAGCCCGTCTCAAGAGTTTTTGTTGCTGGGGAAAGGGGTGGTCCTTCTCGTCCCTCTCCTTTCCCTTACTTCTAGAAGCATGTAAGGCTCATCATGTGGCAGTGTTTCAAACCTGCATCAGGGGAGTTTCAGACTTCACATGAGGAAGCATTTCTTTACCAAGAGGGTGGTCAAACACTGGAGCTGGCTTCCCAGAGAGGTGACCGATGCCCCAAGCCTGTCAGTGTTTAAGAGCCATTCGGATAATGCTCTTAATATGCTTTAACTTTTGGTCAGCCCTGAAGCGGTCAGGCAGTTGGACTAGATGATCATTGTAGGTTCCTTCCAACTGAAATATTCTGTTCTGTTCTGTGCCTTGTGTCCACCGCTTTGTCCTGCGTGCCACTACCCCAACTATTTCCCCATTTTCCTTTTCTGATTTTGAGTGCAAGTATTTGTGTTGCTGTATGGTGGATTGCATTGAGAGTAGGATTCAGGATAAATCTCACTTTGGGAGGATGGATAGAATTGGGATAAATTGAGCAGGGGAAGGCTGGAACTTGTAGTGACTGTGCAGTCTTGTGGCTGTTTTGTGCATAGGTGTGTGTAACTCTTTTGAGGTTGGCTTCAGAGTTGCTGTAATGCAGCTGTCATTAGGAGGTATATTTTGGCTCTTTCTGGCGCTTCTTTTTGTGCTGCTACTAGCCTTCCAACTTAAATTTATTTTTTTTAAATTTTCAGTCAGATGGGTTCATTAATCCTACTTGCTGTCCAGCTGTGTACACAGTAGGTACCAAGAATGAGCAGACACCGGACAAGTAGGTGGGAGAGCAGAACCAACCCTTTTGGCTAGAGCCCAAACTAAATGGGTTAAAATAACTAGGTAATTATGGCCAAGTATTTTGTTTCATCTGCTACCTGGTGTTATGAAAACTGGAGAACTTAAGTCTTGTTAAGAGCTATCTTAGTGAGGAGACCCCACCTGAAAAATAATCCTCTGTTGCTGGTTGTAGAGAGAGGTCCAAGCAGCCTGCTCAGGAGCTGGAGTGTTCCCAGAGGCAAAGCTTGCTTAAATGTATGCCATAACATAGCTATAGAAAAGTTCAAGTCAGACTGCATAGTGTGCTTTAAACACAGTGCTTGTGTGACTTGCAGTATCCCAGACCTTCCCACCGTTTAAACCATTTGCATGGCTACTAACGGAACAGTGCCACAGCTTTAGCAGCCACTTGATGCATTTAATACTACCATAGAGTGTTAACAGGTTTACACCAAGCCAAGGTCTTTTTGAGTTAGATATCTTTTCCAAAAGCTGTGCAATATTAATGCTAGAGTACTAAAGAATGAAGAAGCTGAATGGTGGTAGAGAGAGAGGGAACAGCTGCTTGATAAGGGCATTTGCAAATACAGTATTTAATCCTGTTACAAAGGAGAGTGGCTGCTGGCTTTTCCATTCGGAGGCTTTAATGGTTGGATCGCACAGGAAGTGAAGAGAGCGTTGGATTCACAAGAAGTGAATCTGATGACATCTAGGTCATTATTTAATTCATCATATGTAATTCATGCCACAGGGGGAGTGTCTTGGTAGGCAGATCTTTATTGCCTAAATTGGAATTTAGTACAATGCTAGATTAAGTCCTGAAAAACTTGTACGCAGTTTTTTAATGAACAAAAGTTTCTTTTTTTTTTTCGTAAGTCAAAACAAGGTTATTGTAACACAATGGTTGCTTGTGTCATATTATTGCTTTTTTAAAAACAAACAAACAAACCAGAAATTGGGTACTGAGGCTAATAGGAGGCAGAGAAAGAGCAATATGTTTGTCTCCTGATACTCACTTTATCAGGTCTCAGACTTCAAAAACTTTCCTTTGGGCAAAAAGGTTCTAATGGTTTTAATTTTAGCTTGATCTAATACAAGAGAAAAAACTTGTTTTGTAAGTGTGGGACCAAAAAGCACTTAAAAAAGACATGGTTGTGTATGGAGGTTATCCCCTTTTAAAACTTACTCAGTACGCTGGTTTCTGGGCGAATTTTCACTTCACTTTCTGAAGTGAAGGGCTACAAAGAGTCTGGCAGGCATCTGTACAAGCAACTGATACACTATATAGCCAGTTTATTTTGTTTTTCAGGGCAGTATGACTGCAATGACTGTATTTTTTCCTTTGGATACAGCTAGGCTTAGACTTCAGGGTAAGTGTCAAACTCTAGTTTCTTTGTACGACGGTGTTTCTGTTCATCTTGGCTTGGGCACTCATAAGGGTGGTTATAGGGGGACCTGTCTTGCATGAACAGGAATCTTACTTGTGTAACACTAACACAATTTAATCACTAACCCCACTTTTCCAGCTGAAGGTAATTCTTCCTTTTGAAAGTAGTTGGCAACCTTTTAATTAGCTGAAAACGCTGTGTGATGTGTGGCCAGACATGGGTTTTAAATGGTTATCTAAGACCAAAAAGAAAAATAAAGATGTGAGATTACACAGGATTACATTTGCGTGTTGCTGCTTTTGGCTGCTGAGAACACTTCAAAATGCAGGGGCAGTATCATGAAAAACTAGTCTAGAGTTATTCCTGAGAATGGTTTAAAGGGGAAAGTCAGGGTTAGAACTGGGAGTAGGAATGTCTGATATTTACAAAAATGCAATCTGGGTATAAACTTTGTTGTTCTAATGCTCTATCTCCCAATCAAAAGTCACAGAATCACCAAGCATTTTAGCACTGTGACTAAAGCGTTCTTAAGAGCTAGAGGGAGATCATCAGCCAGGTTGTCAGAAATATGTGGTTGAACAATTAGCACCATATTGCTGTTGAGCAGCTTTCAACGCAGGAAGAGACAGTGTCTTGCTAAGGCTTAGCTGTTTGCAGATTAACTGTAAGAGATTGCTGTGCTAGTGCTGCTAGTCTGGAGTCCAAGGTACAATTTTGAGAGCAGTTAGGCAGGCCCAGTTCTAGTCTCTTACCTATGGTGAATCTACCTTCAGTTCATGTCACAACTATCAGGACAGGAATTGGCAACTGCAGATATTGTGGTGCCCAACAGAACCTGCTAGTCTGGGGAAGAATGAAAAAAGGAAGTAGTTACCTTGCAAATGAAAATAAGGAGATGCTTTCTGGAATTGCTGCAGAAGTAGGGAATGTCTGTCCTTTACAAGGAAGAAGAAACATGCTCTTCTGGGGGATGTTCAGAATAGGAAGGATAAAGAGTTGAAAATGAGTGCTAAAAATCAGAATAATCTAACAGTTTGATTCTTCTGTTTTCCAGTTGATGAGAAGCGGAAGTCTAAGACAACACCGGCAGTCCTATTGGAAATAATCAAAGAAGAAGGCCTGTGAGTAGATGCTAATTTTTCTTCTTGTCTTCATGTAGGCAAGCTCTAAAACGAATTTGAATTTGCTGTTAAAGTGGAATAGTTAGCCCACGTGGACAGATTTTTTTACTTTGAATTCAAATATCTTCATATAAGTGTGATATGTCTTACATAATCTTATGTGTTCATCTTTAGCTAATTTGAATTAACCTGCTTGAGCACCTTATGCAATCGAGCTGTTCAGTGATGTGACTGTGCCTCCATTAGGGAGGTAGCTGTGCCTCCTCAGAAATGCAGGTTTGTACGCAAACGTACCTTCATGTACCTGATAAACCAGCTGCGTCTGCCCGGATTCTTGGGTGTGTCCATTTCTCATAACCAAGATGAAACTCTTGGACAGCTGAGCCACTTTCAACAGGAGAACTGAGACCTTTCCCAGTTAGAAGTTTTGTCTCCTCCTAAGCACGTGGAAGTAAACAACAAGTGACTCTTTATGCTGATGAGATTGAAGATCTGTCTAAAAGTAGTTAACTTTCATCAATGCTGTGCTTTATTTGCCACATAGTCTGAGCTGAGCTGGCTGGGAAAAACAGTTGTATGTGTGTCTTTGTTACAAGTATTTTCCTAAGTGAATCCCTGGAACTCTTTATGTAGACCAGAGCTTTCAGGACATTAAAGTTGACAAGACTTTAGCTTGGCCAATAATGTTTTGCCACCTTTGAACTTGAGCAGCTGGCAGTTGTATGCATGAGTACTTCTCAGTCAGTTGGTGATCTCTTTTGTTCACATTCCCACATTACATTTGTTACATGAGGGTGTCAAGTAAATGTCAATTAAAAAAAAAAAAGAAAAAAAAAAGTAAAAAAGAAAAATTAAGATGTTAACTGAAATTGAGAGACTGCAAAAGCGGTTATCCTACTTTTCCTGTGAAACAGAAATATCAGTAATTCTGGCAAGAGGTAAACATTATTTCTTCCAAAGGTATTGGCAAGGCCTGGCTAAGCAATGATACTAGTTTTAGAGATGTCTCTGGAATAAAAAAAACCCCAACAAACCCCCACAACAAATAGGAAATCTGTGATGTGAGATTATAAACATCTTGTTCGCATTAGTATGTAGAATCTTGTCTCATATTACACTTTTGTGAGACTGCTTTTCTCATCTAGATGTAACATAAAGCAAATATTAAAGCTGTTTGATAAAACTCTACAGAAAATCCATTAGCTAAACCTTTCTTCCCTGTGCTTTCATCCTTTTCTAGGTGATATGAGAGGTGTTCACTGGTGTACACCGAGTTCTTCTTAAGGTTGCAGTTTAGAACACAAACCTAGGTTTTTATTTGTGTGCAGAAGGATTTGTATGTGAACTGCAGATGCTAACACTGACAACTTAAGTCATTGAAATAAACTCATGTTTTTTTGTCATAGTTTCATGTTTTTTACTGTAAGATGTTTCCTTTAAGAATTTCTGATGATGATTTTCAATAAATCAAGCAAAACTAAACTAACATTCTCAGTAAGAGGACATCATCCCCAGAGGGACAGTATAGGCAGTTAATTTGTAATTGTAACTGTATGGTTAGCTAAGCCTGTAACTTCAGAAACAGCCCTAATAACACGGTGTATTCCCACCTACGTGGGAGGGAGAAGCACTTGATGCATTTGAGATGAAAACCTAGCATTTACATCATAAGAACAGTCAGATGCTGCATTTACCAGCCTTGCACCTTTTATGGTCTCCTTGAGGATCCTTACATTCTGTATATTCCCAATATTTTAATCAATACTAAAGAGCCTCCATGATTACTGCCGGTCATTGAGGAGATTTCTTATGCTCTTAACATGATACCAGTTCTCTACCTGGCTTGTGCAGCTTCAGTGAAGGTGCGTATCATTATGCTATTTAGATGGATTGTAGAACATGCTGGGGATGTAGGGCAGTTGTTGAGGTGTCCCTGTTTAACAGGCTCATCAGGCCTGTCAGAGAAGGAAGCCTTGTTAGTCAGCTGTTATGAAATCATTCTTAAATCAAGATAGATTTAGGTAATACACAAACAATGACAATTATTCACAACACCTGAAAAATAAGATAGCTGTGAATTATAAGGGGGTATTCAGTTTTTCATCTGTGATTGAGCTAGTTAAATTTAAATAGGTAATGTCTTTTTCTCACTTACCTGATGGATTTGCTGTAGGCTTTGCTGCAAGGCATTTATTAGAAATTCCTCCCACCTGCATATCTCATGCCCCAGGTTGCATCCTTTGGAAGACTCTCCTTGGTGGATATTAATTTCAGTAACTAGTCTTCCATCTTTAAATTTTATGTGAGAATCCAGACAGATATATTTCTTTTTCTTCCTTGCTCTAGGTTTATTTTTTATTATTATTTCATATTGAAGGAGTAGTTGTCTTAAATTTTTTTTCCAGCTATGTTAAGCATTGCTTTGTTTCCTTGGAGACAGGAGCATCTCTTTACTGAGGCGTTATCTTTTGTATTGGACTGACAACTCCATTTCTTAGCAAAGATGGGAATTCCCGTCATGCCTTGGTATGTTTTAGTATATGATTTGAACTGACTGTATCAGTCTGTATGCTAACATACATACTCCAAACATATATTCATCCCCTGGATATTTGTAGTACATCGCTGGCTGTTGGTAGAGAGCAGTTACGGTGGTAATAATCACTTTTGGAGTGAGTGAGCCCCAAGCTTCTCGCTGTAAATATGTTTATAATTCATAGTAATCAGGAATAATTCCATTGGAAAGGAGCTGTAGAGGTACAATATAAGTGCTTAGGGGTTTTTTTATGGTACAGTCAGGAGTTTAGTACAGTATGATTTGCTACTATTAATGATAAAGTTGTATCTAGTTAGTATTGTATGTGGTATACAGTATTGTATCTCTGGCACCTTCCACCAGCATGTAAAATCGACTAGATCACATGAATGCTTTGCTGATCCCTTACCATGACTCTTTCCTCTCCCTTAGGTTGGCACCATATCGAGGATGGTTCCCTGTTATCTCCAGCCTTTGCTGCTCCAATTTTGTTTATTTTTATACATTTAACAGTCTTAAAGCTCTCTGGGTCAAAGGTCAGCATTCAAGCACTGGAAAAGACTTGGTTCTTGGGGTTGTTGCAGGTAATATTTACATTTCATCAAAAATGTATTTTTAGTATATTCTATCTAATGTTTTTCTTATGAAGTCCACTGGAGATCACACTGAGTGCTTACGCCTCGCACTGTATGCAGACCTGCTTTGTTGTACAGCTCTGATTGCTCTTCTGTGTCCTTCCCACCTCATAAGTAGGTGCATAAACTGTTGTGAATTCTGGCACACAGTACAGTGCTGTTGCAGTCTACTATTTTATTTGTGCGTGGTGTGTTGTTTACCATGGTATATAACCATCATCTTTTAGATGTTGAAGACAAGTGGCAGGGAGAGGTGGTAGTTTTTTTCAAAAGGAAAGATATATGCCAATTCTGAAATATTTTTGATTAGGATAAGTAAGAGCTTTTAATGTAAAGGATTTGGGTGCCAGTTTTCAGACTTCTTTTTGGATCATCATCTGCAAGTGACAATAAGTCCCTAGATGTATGCAGCACAGTGGGAACTTTATGTTCTTTTTCATCCCTTCCTCTCATGTGGATGCTACAGTGGCTTCTTTGAAGGAATGATGACACTAATGGCTTTTCTAGCAAATCCATTGTGAAAAATTACTACTGTGTGTCTGTGTTTGCTTGTCCTGTTCTGCTGGAACAATTGCTCATGCAACCACAATGAAACAAGCTGATTTAAAAAAAACTGTCAAAAAAAAAAAAAAAGCCTGTGTTTATTTGGGAGGGTGGTAAGGTGTTGGTGTTTGTTTACTTTTTGCTAGTTTCTTGTACTTTCAGTGTGTAGGCACAATGAATAGCTGAATAGTTGGGGGAAAGTAAGGAAAGAAATTCTTAACTTGACTTTTATCACTGGGGGAAACTTTCTTATAATTACATTCTGGAACAAAGGCTGTAGGAATTAGAGTAATAGCTTGTCAGTTAAATGACTTCTTCAATGTCCATAGTTTATATCCTCATGACGGAATAATATCTGGTGTAAATTGAAAAATTCCCCTTGAGGTGTTTACTAATTCTCCCTACCCATCTCTCATTCCTCCTACTGGTAGCAAATACAGATTGGAAAAATATATTAAAAAAAATTACCTTTCCAGTCTGGAAAATAAAGTTTTATGACTTCTCCTTTAACTGAGTCTGGGTGAAAAATTACAAGTATATTGTGCTCTGTGTTACTCCACAATGTATTCACATTGAGTTTGGTTAAGAGAGATTAATGTGGCTTACTTTTTCTAGTGTCTGATTTTGCTCAAAACTTGAGCTGATTGTAGTCCTTGTGAAGGATACTGAAATATAGTTATGTTTATATTCTGCTTTTCTGAACCCTCTTAAAGGAAAAGAACAAACAGGCACAATGTGGGTAGTAAAGTTTCACCTTTTTCAGATTTACTGTTCTTGATAGTGATAGACTGTGTCCATCTCAGTATAATGAAATAATTCAGTCTGTCACTCAGACTCCTACCAAAGCAAGCAGGGTAGAAGCAGATGCTAACTTCTGTGATGCAGAAATATTAATAAGAAAGATCAGAAGCTTGTTTTTACATGATTACTTCAAAGTAACTGCCTCAGTCATTACTGAACAGGAAAGACCTGTACCAGGTGATAGCAGAAGTAATGTCACTTAGTCCTTCTCCCTGTTGCTTTAGAACTCTACTTTGCAGTACTACTTTGTGGCAGCCTTATGTGTGTTTGTCCATTTCTCCTTCCTCATCCTACTTTCTGATACTCAACTTTCAAACTTTACTGTTGGGATCTGTTATTGTGTGTAATCTCTTGGCATTTCTAAGCCTCACAAAATATTTGCAGAATCCTGTGTTTTCCACCTTAAGTGTACTTAGTGACTCTAGAAACTAGATATTCTCATTGTTTTGGCAGCGTAGGAGCTCTGTTCTGGTAATCAAGCTGCATGCATTTATCTGTTCTGATCTCTCCTCATAAAATAATCCTTCTAACCTTATCGCTCTGTGTTTCTTTCCAAAAGTAGGCAGGCAGCATGTCATCATGGAGTGAAGTAGGGCATGAAAAAGTAGAGTATCTTGTGCTCCAGTGTGGTGTAGTATGCAGCAAAGTAACAAGTTCACTTAAGATTCCTTCAACATGTTCATATTTGGTGTGTTTTGTTGTTTGGTGTTTTTTGTTTTTTGGGGGGGTTTTGTGGTTTGTTTTGTTTTGGGGAGGAGTAGCAGAAATGTCTTCCAACCGCATGCATCTGCTGACAACTAATTCATGGTGGAGCTGTGCTGGGGAATAGCTGAAGTAGCTTATTACAAATTACCAGTTTACTTTTGCTGTTGTGCTGTGTTAATTTTTCCTGCTCTTCCTACCAGTAATTTCAGTAGTATGTGAATTGGCATAAAAGGGGATCTGATAGAAGACCAGATAGATAGAAGAAATCTTCTGGTTCTGGCTGATTTTCTTTGTGCTGTGTTTTATGTTAGGTGTAGTTAATGTCCTGTTGACCACTCCTCTTTGGGTAGTGAACACACGTCTGAAGCTGCAGGGAGCAAAATTTAGAAATGAAGACATTGTACCAACCAATTATAAAGGCATAATAGGTAAGCACCTGTTGTTTTCAACCAAGGAGAAGTTCATTAAATGAAATATATCAAGGACTCTGAAGTTTGAAGGCTTTTATTCATGTAACTGATTTCACCCTGGAATCTCTATGCTTCCCTATCGCTTTGCAGTCATGAGTTTTACAGGAAACTGGACTTGGCCATTTCTGATGGTGATTAAGAGTTTGTAGTATGCACACCTGTAACTAAAATTCCTTTTGCAAAGGCAGGTGTCTTATCATACAGATCCTGGAGTAGTAGTGAGCCCAGTGAGATGGTAGCTGGGAGTCTTGAGTTTGGGCAGATAATCTGCAAATGAAACTTCACTCACCTTAATCTCTTAATCACCCACATGTTCAGACTGTCTTCCTTTTGAAAATAAATAAACAAATATTGGTTTTGTTTTGAAGAAGGTTTGGAAGACCTTAGTGTTGATGCTGAGCTTGTACTAAAAAGAGTGGGGTGTCTATGCAGATGATAAACTTTGTTTACGTTAATGGTGACGTGAGCAAGCACCTCCTTTGTCACTATTTTTCCGTTAACTTCTAGATTAGAATGAAAGATAAAAAAAGTTTCATAAAAGATTGCAGTGGCTTATTATACACTTTGAATATTAGGCTTTAAGTGTAACTTTTCTTGTCTTCTACAGTCAGAATTTTGTAATCAAAATTTTGATGGTTTTTTTCCCCCCCCCCCACCTTTCTTCTCAGATGCGTTTCATCAGATAATACGAGATGAAGGAGTCTTAGCTTTATGGAATGGTACTTTCCCCTCCTTGCTGCTGGTCTTCAATCCTGCCATACAGTTCATGTTTTATGAAGGCTTTAAACGGAAGCTTTTGAAAAAGCAGCTGCAAGTGAGTATGTTTTGAGGGCAAGTGATGGACATACTCTGTTATAAGACAGATTCTTTGACATGCTTTACTTGAGCAAATTCAGAAATGTAGATTTCGTTTTGGTTCTTCTATTTTTGAGGGGTTTTTTTGAGTTAGTGTATCTTCTAAAAAAGTTCCGTCATCGTGAAGTGAGACGTGAATCTTTCATGTCCCTAGGGAAGATACTCCTGTGATAAATTCCTCTTCCTGTAAAAATAAAACTGCACCTCTTGTCCACATTTGTTTTGATTTGTTCACAGGTCTCAATGTAGATATTTCAATTCTAATACATCTGTTTTTTAAGCATGTACATACAGACTGTTTTGAAGTCACCTCTTAACGCTTTCTCTAGTAAATCAAGTATATTGAGCCTTTAAATTATCACAGGTTTGTTCTGGACCCTGTCATTTTAATAACACTTTTTTCCTGAAGCCCTCAATTTTTCACTATCTTTTGTCCAAGGATGGAGACTAGGATTGAAAATATAGCATTGCAACCGTACCTCCCCGCTTCTCTAAGTAGAGGTAGAATCACTTTTCTGTCCCTGCTTTAGAGTCCCCTTCTTTGTTCTTTTTCTTTTTTCTCTGTATCAGTTATAGCATCTCACCCGAACTCATGTTCCTTTTATGTTCTAGTACATTGAAAAGCGTTTCTGTTACATTTTAGGATAATGTCATAACATATTATATGTTTAAGCTGCAGTGCTTTGCTGTTAGTTTGTGACTTCAGAATGCCTTTGGCTGTATTAAAATGTTAGATCATATCAATATGTTACAAAGCCATCTTGTTTTTCCTCAAGACAGTGAAATTATTTTTACATGAGATTTTGCATCATAAATAAGGCTTGGGTTTTTAACCATCTTTAGTCAATACTGCAGCTGCAGCACTCTGTGCCTGATGGATCTACCCAGTTACATTATGGATAATACATTTTTTTGAGTGATGAGCTGAGCTTCCCTCTGCATTGTTATTTGCCTGTTGGCTAACTACTATATTTATTTCTTGTGTTTCTTTTAAATGACTTAATTCTACCTTAAATTAGGGCGTGTTTTATCCGTGATCAGTGGAGAGGGAAAATACTTTTTTCCCCTAGCAATGGTCATTTTTATTTTGGACAATGTTTTTCTTTCTATTTGATCTTTTCCTGATCGTCTTAAGTATATCAGATTGACTTTTTAAAGATGTGCATGTGTGTGCATACTTCTGATTGCAATCAACATATTTCGCAAATTTGGAGTGTGTTTTGATATGGGCGCCTATTTATTTTCAGTGATGAATTCACACTGTTAGACTGAGATGCACTGTAATCAGCTCAGGCTATAACAATGTATTTGGTGCATCGTGGAACATTGTGGGCTTTGGAGGTGTGGATGGACTTCCAGCAGGTGTTCTTAACTAATAGGGGATGAGATTTTTAGCCTACATCATCAAGTCTAAAATTCTGCCTGATAGCGTAGTGATCGTGTCTCAGGATTATAGAGTGATGTTCAAGGATTCTTTCACTGTTGCCTTTTCACAAGTGCCATGTGACTTGTTCGTTTAAATGTTGCAAAAGCTGAAATGCTTATTGATTGATGGGATGTTTAAATGCTACTTCCCTATCTTTTGTTTACTCTCAGTGCTTTAAATTGGTCTAGTTGCATGGATTTATCTCCATTATGTTTTAGTAACCTGTTTATAGCGAGAAATGCAAAAGCTTGTGAGCACGTAGAAGTTACAAATAAACTTCAGTTGTGGGCAAGTACGTTGGTTGAACTATAACTCTTTAAAATGAGAAGACCCAGAGACTTCATGAAATCTATGTGTCAAGGATACTTAGATAACCTGGTAGCAGGTACCAGTACAGAATCCCCAAACACGTAGGGGTAACTGGCTGTTTTGATACTATGTGGAAGTAATACGTCCTTTATCTGTTGAACAGCTCACATCTTTGGATGCTTTTGTCATTGGTGCAATAGCCAAAGCAATTGCCACCACGCTCACTTATCCTCTGCAGACAGTACAGTCAATTCTGCGGGTAAGTAATAATTTCATTTCGGGGTGACTGCCTCTGACTTGTTCTGTACAATGCAAGCCCTGTTCATATGGCTTGTTTTTCTGTGTGTTAATGAACCCAACATTTTGGGAGCTCCTTTTGCACAATGCAGGTCACTGATAAGGATGCCTCTCATCTTTGATCCTGTACTGACAGATTCTGATAGAACTTGGTATTACTGGTGCACATTTGTTTCAAGTAGCTGGTAGGATTGACAACATTGGTACAGTGCCTCACAGAAGCTGATGCACCATACTGCTTTTAGGCACTACAAAAATGTACATTTACTTCTTTGAGTATAAATAGAAAATGTGTCAAGTGGGAAGTTTAAAATTAAATCCTCTAAACCGAGTTTGATTCCAGATGACCTAGGGTAATCCAAAAAAAGTTCTATTCATAGGTTTTGTTTTATTTGGATGATGGCCTGACCTTGTCAGTAGCCAGAATGTGATTCATCAGGGGGAGATGAGCTCCCTCGTAAATAATATCTTTAACCACTTGCCCGGCTTTGTACGCTAATTGTAGTGGTAATGGAAACACTTGCATTTATTCTGACTTGCAATTTGTATGTATGCTGGATAATGCTGCTACCTTCAGTATGTACCAATATTGTAATATTGAAACAAAACAAATTTTTTGGGGGGAGAGACCTCACCATACATAAGCAAGCATATTGTAGTTTAATTTCTGTGCTTTTTAATCTATTTTTGTAAGTTGTTTCTTGATTATTTTTCCAACAGTTAAATATTAATAAATGTTTCCACATGAAATATAATGCTATTCTCCTAAGTAAGGAGAAGCCCTAACTTGCGTGTGTGGTAAAGCCATTATATATGTTCTAAAACTTGTATAAATTTGGAGAATTAGTTGAATTATTGAATGTGAGCCTTCCATGCTAAGGATATCACTTTTCAGACTTCTCTAATAGGGGTTTTTTCTTGTTAACTGTTCATCTGGAAAAAGTTATTTTCATGCAGATTTTGTAATTATTTTAGTTTTTCTTCTCTGTAATTAGAGTGGACTAAATGCATTTTGATTTTTGATGGCCTGCAAAAAGATAGTTTGGATGCTTTATTTCAAGCTAACAGGACTTGAATATATTTACTGTGTGGTTGCTGCTACACTGAAAAGATGCTAGGTAAAACTTGTGTGCCTGCACAGCTTTCTACTTCACCCTGATGATGCACAAAATGGCATCCACATTGTAGATGTGTCAGCCACATTGTCGTTTTGTCAGCAGTCGTTTTTTCTGAAGGTTTTCTAACTTCTGATGATCAGCTGAGCTAATGCCTTCATTCAATGTCTTACCCTGTTTAACAGCCTGGACATGTCTCAGGAGTTAAACTAGTAACACAGACTTCTATTACTGAAGTGACAGATACAGAAAAACATTTAAGCAAATTTAGCTTTGTTTGGATAAGTTGCAACATCAGTCTGTTTTTAATTTGTGATGCTTTTTCTGCTGGTGTGAAGGAGAACTGGATGGAAAGTTGGAGTGCTTTATTTTAGGTTCAGCATTGCACAGCAGTACAGTTTTCACGGGGCTACCTCAATGTACAGCTTCAACCCTTGTTCCTTTCCACGGTTGCTATAGAAATGGTTACAGTCTTGTGACTATTACTTCATATTTTGTCTGTCTCCTTTTGGCTTTTTGAACAAAATTCTTCTGTCTCTTGGTGACAATGTCATTCTTTAAAAAAAGGGCAGCTCTGGTAAGTTGTGCTGCCAGCTTGATGTACTAACCAGCTGCTGCTTACTGCTCACCTCAGCTGAAGTCAGCTAGTTTGCTGCTGGCTTGCCTGAGCAGTGATAAGTTGCCTTTCTGCTAGAGCACAGCTAACCATCAGTGTCCTGGTGGTGGTGGTGGTGTTCTCACAGTGGGCCACTGTGAAATAAAGTGGCCCATATGCTGCTTCTCTGTGCCAGTCCATCCTCTCCCTGTGATGATGGGGAATACAAGGACCCTGTCTCTAGTTCTGCAGTCACTAGGGGTGACTTCTTTCCCTTTGCTCTATGAAAGAAGTAATAGCCAGAAATCCTAGACGCTTCTGGCAAGAACAGCAGGAACATGCATCTGTGATACCTGTGTTGTCCAGTTCAAACTTGCAATACTTCATAATGTGTTTTCTAATCTAAAGCTAGCATTGTTATATTTGATGAATTTTTTTGTCACTCAGAGGAAGTGATGTTAAAAAAAAAAGTTATGAATAAAGGTTTAGTATTTTCAGAAATAACATTCCACATGAAGTGTACTTTGTATAGTTGTGGGTTTTTGAAACAATTTTAGCAGATTTACACACAAGCTAATACAAGCTCGATATAATTAATAAAAACTTACACATCATAATTAAGTTCTGTCATCAAATTACGAGCACAGAACTCTCTTCAACCTTAAACCTTTAGAAACTTACTATTGTTTGAAAGTTATTAGAGTTCTTTGTAATGAAGTCTCTACACCTTTGCTTTCAACTTTTTGGCAAAGCACTCTTGCTTCCATATAATGAACAATAATCCTGTGTAATTGATTGTAAGCAGCTTCCAGTCTTGCCATTTGGTATGTCTATCTCCTTTTCGGTCATTAAAAATACGTGACACTGGTGTTACTCATTATGCAGTGAAAATGTTCTTTAGCCTATGTGTTGGTAAACAGTGGATAAATTAAATTTGCCTCTAGAGAAACAGCAATACTGTTAATGTTCTTGGTGATCCTCGGTAAAAAAAGTTCTTTTTAAAGCTTTTTTTCTCTAGTGTAGAGAATGCTACTCCCTGTGGGAAATCATCTGCAGTAATCAGTGAAGTATTGACATCCTGGGGAGAAATCAATGTGTTTTTTCCCCCTTGATGAACCTTGGTTTGCAGTACAAACATAGTCCAATGGTGGAGAAGAGAGGAGAAGGGAGCACCTAATCCTGGTGTAGCTTGGAAGCCTATGAGTAATCTGGGCAGTGACTGGCCTTGTAACTTGGAACCTAGTTAGCAATTTTTTGGGGGTGTGTCTGAGTCTTTGACAGTAATCCTTAACATTAATTTATCAATATCAAACGAGTTAGTTGCTGATGAGAAGATCGTGGGTTGTGAGCACGTATTTGCCTAATAAAGGAGATTTCCAATGGCATTCTGTTGCTGTTGTTTCTGAGTTCTTAAGACATATAGCAAAGGGAACTGTGTCATCCTGGCATTTCTGAACTGCCTAAATCTGCTTGCATACTCTACCTACTGTCAGTGGTAACTTCTCACGCCTAAGAAGTAGCAGTTGCCTGAGTAAGTTCTGGGAGAACTCATCCACAGGCAATTGCTTAAGTTCACCTTTCTTAGCACAGAAGTATAATACAGGCTTCAAAAGCTATTTGGCTATGTTGTTATAAATACAAGTGTGGCAACCCTTGTATATTAATAATTCATAGCTGCAGCTTGCTGACAGTACTGTTGACCTGTATCAGATAAGAGTATCAATGAATGCTAGAAAAGGAGTTGCTGAAATTGCTAGTTTAACTCTGAGACATAAAATTGCAGCAGCAGCTATCATGTCTACTGAAAAACGGTTTGGGGATAAGCAAATGCAGTGAGTAAGAGAGAAGTATTATTTAGGCCAGGTAGGTGGATCAAACAATTTCGGGTTCTTCCACAGCAGTTCACATGTAAATGTTTTGCTCAAAGACCATTGCTGGGCAGATAAATTCTGGGTTCAGCTATGTAATCTCAATGTAATAATGGTTTGCAGATGTATGAGGCTTTGAATCTTTGTTGAATGAAAGCTGAGCAAGCCAGAAAGAACTTGCTTTGAATGTCATATCCCTACTGAGACTCTGTAAATTATGCTTTTGAGATCTTGAAAACCGTTTCCTCCAGAACAACTGAAAGAGAGCAAATATGGCCACGTGTAGCACTTTCTTAGAATCCATCTTAAAACGAAAACACATTATTGTAGCGCATACCATTTTACTGCTTTCTGTGTGAAGTTCAATAACGTGAGCTTTGGCCTCAGTTCTTCACTGATGGCTAGTATAACCTGGCAAATGCTAAGAGGTTTAAGATAGGCTCTCCAGATTTTATGCATGTGTTGGGTTCTCTGCCTAGAACCATGGGGAAATAGTACAACAAAATGCTCTTCCTTTTTTTTTTTTTTTTTTTTTTTCCCCCCCCAGTTTGGACGCCACAGGTTGAACCCAGAGAACCGAACGCTAGGCAGTCTTAGAAATGTTCTTTACCTTCTTCAGCAGAGAGTGAGGTGAGCTTTCTGGTTTTTTCTAACATGATACAGAAGACTTGAGTATTACTAATGTTGAAAATATTGCTAGATCTGACTTTTGTTTCTTTTTGCCCCCCTTAAATTGCCATTTGAGTCAACCAGTTTTTTGTAATATATTGCAGAATAAGTACACAAAACCAAATTCTGCTAAATATTTGTACAGTGGTATGAAGGATATCTATGGATATCAATTCATTCACCTCTCATCTTGAAAAGAAGCAAGTTTCTTGCACAAAAGACTTAACTTTCTGCAGATTTTTCTCTTTAAAATATTATTAAACATAGCTGACGCACAAGACATCACGAATGAATTTGATTCTTACAGTTGTCATTAACTTGTGATATTAATTCTTCTTTGTAGTGTACTGATTTACTTGTAGAAGGCTATTCACACTTGTTTTCTTTTTTGTTTTTTTTTTCCTTCTTAGGCGTTTTGGATTAATGGGACTCTACAAAGGCCTTGAAGCAAAGCTCCTGCAGACAGTCCTTACTGCTGCTCTTATGTTTCTAGTGTATGAGAAACTGACTGCAGCAACCTTCACAGTCATGGGATTAAAGCGTTCACGCAAACACTGAAAAAGGAACTTATGCCAAAGATTATGGGGTCTAGAAAACATGGTCCATTTCTGAGACAGTCTGGGTAACAAAAGGTCCTCACTTCCTCTTTCTCTTTTCTTTTTAGCCACCTCCATCTCCATTATTTGGAGAAATTTGGTATACACTCTACAGGACCTGTTGCCATGAATTCAGGGATAGCCCATTCCCTACTCTTCTGTGGACTCACTATGTGAAACAAAGCAGAGACCTTATTTAAGCACTTGACATGAAATTTTAACTACTATATGATTTGATTGACGTTCTTGGCAAGAATGAGTATCTGTTGCTATGCTTTCTTGTTTTCCCTCAAGTCATCGTCAACTATTCTTCTATCTTTACCCTCTGTCAGCAGCTGGTGGGGCTGGTTTCATGTTATTTTCCTTGACCTGTGTTTATGTTTTTTTTTTTTTTTTTTTTTTTTCCCCCCCCAGTTTGGACGCCACAGGTTGAACCCAGAGAACCGAACGCTAGGCAGTCTTAGAAATGTTCTTTACCTTCTTCAGCAGAGAGTGAGGTGAGCTTTCTGGTTTTTTCTAACATGATACAGAAGACTTGAGTATTACTAATGTTGAAAATATTGCTAGATCTGACTTTTGTTTCTTTTTGCCCCCCTTAAATTGCCATTTGAGTCAACCAGTTTTTTGTAATATATTGCAGAATAAGTACACAAAACCAAATTCTGCTAAATATTTGTACAGTGGTATGAAGGATATCTATGGATATCAATTCATTCACCTCTCATCTTGAAAAGAAGCAAGTTTCTTGCACAAAAGACTTAACTTTCTGCAGATTTTTCTCTTTAAAATATTATTAAACATAGCTGACGCACAAGACATCACGAATGAATTTGATTCTTACAGTTGTCATTAACTTGTGATATTAATTCTTCTTTGTAGTGTACTGATTTACTTGTAGAAGGCTATTCACACTTGTTTTCTTTTTTGTTTTTTTTTTCCTTCTTAGGCGTTTTGGATTAATGGGACTCTACAAAGGCCTTGAAGCAAAGCTCCTGCAGACAGTCCTTACTGCTGCTCTTATGTTTCTAGTGTATGAGAAACTGACTGCAGCAACCTTCACAGTCATGGGATTAAAGCGTTCACGCAAACACTGAAAAAGGAACTTATGCCAAAGATTATGGGGTCTAGAAAACATGGTCCATTTCTGAGACAGTCTGGGTAACAAAAGGTCCTCACTTCCTCTTTCTCTTTTCTTTTTAGCCACCTCCATCTCCATTATTTGGAGAAATTTGGTATACACTCTACAGGACCTGTTGCCATGAATTCAGGGATAGCCCATTCCCTACTCTTCTGTGGACTCACTATGTGAAACAAAGCAGAGACCTTATTTAAGCACTTGACATGAAATTTTAACTACTATATGATTTGATTGACGTTCTTGGCAAGAATGAGTATCTGTTGCTATGCTTTCTTGTTTTCCCTCAAGTCATCGTCAACTATTCTTCTATCTTTACCCTCTGTCAGCAGCTGGTGGGGCTGGTTTCATGTTATTTTCCTTGACCTGTGTTTATGCCACTTCATATGTAGTTCATTAAAATAATTCATAAAGAACAAGATTTTTGACATAGTTTTCTTTTAACTTCAGGTATGTTTGTGACACAAAATGATAGGATATTGTCCCAAATATCTGGTGGTAAGATTTCTGAACTGCTAGAACGTATGTTATCAGTGCCTTCTTGAATCCCCTTATTTTGAATTTTGAAAATGTTGAAATGCAGATAGTGGCTAGATAGGAGGAATATAACCTTTTGCTTTTTCAAGCTGAGTAGCTCAAGCTGCTTCAAGAAAATGGGCTTGCTACACAGAAGTACATGATGTTCTGTAATCCGGTTCCTTGTGAGAATACGTGAATTCATGCCATATTCTCATACAGAGAGGGAGCACCATCCTATGCTTCAGAAGTGGTATGCCCTCTCAAAAATGTGCTTTGATTATTTTTCCACTGATCTTCCCAGACACTTTCCTGACCATAAAGCATAAAGGTCGTAACTGTTGTCCCAGTTAATGTGAGTGTATATGTTCTTTTTTGCATAATTTTTTTTAATAGTCCTAGGCCATAAAATCCAAATAAATCATGCTGTGTCCATCGTTAAATTTGCAGTAGGATTGTTCTTCAGAACAGTGTTATATTTGAAGTATTGAGAAATTCCATGGTACTTTAACACCAGGAATGTCTGGGAGAGGAATTAAGTGCTGCAGGAAATATGTTACTGAATTGCCAAATGGCACCCTTTTTTGGATCTCAATTGAGTGAATTCTAAGCATGAAATTGGAATGCAATTCTGCAGATAATGTTGTCTTTTGGACAAGAATAAAAACCTTTACAATAACTGCTCCTTTTAAGAGTATTGGGAGTATCTGTGTACAAGAAAAATGCTCTTCATTCAATGCTGGATGCTTTTCAGTCGAAGTGGGATTTACATATGACAAGTAAGAATGTAAAAGCACGATGAGCTGTAATTATACTTTGATAGATGACATGAAATTTAATGAAAGACTCTGTAGACCTCACCAGTGGAAAAGAAACAATTCTGAAAATTTCAGTGAAAATATTCTGCTGACTGAACTGAGTTATCATGTGGCAAGATAGTCTGCTGTCTTTTTGGTGTTTTTAATAAGAAATTCGGAATCAGTAGTATGGCTCTTAATGAGCTACCTCACTTTGAAATTCCAGCTGTCAGAATCATTGAGAGGCTGTTGGCTTTATGCAAAGTGGTTCTGATGCCACTTTGGCTGAAATCTGTGTGGCTGCTAGAAGCTTTAGCTCAGTGTCTCAGATTTTTCTAGTCTGTGGCATGAAGGAGCAAGTCCTGCAAACACAGGAAGTTTTTTGTTCTGGTTGCTTTACCTGTAAGAAAGTAAGTAAATGCTTGCTTGCTATCTAGCTGAAAAATACTTGCCTATCACCCAGTGGTTTCAAAGGAATAAAAAAGTGCCCCATTTCTGCAAAAGAAAATGAATACAGAACAACCATATAGAGAGGAGTGCTGGCCTTTGCTGTGTCTGTGTTACTGTTAAATCTGGAGTAGACATTTTGCATTAAACTCTCTACTTGGCTCTACTGACCAGCTGTTATAATGAAACAGTTTCATAAAAGGATGAAAACAAAAGCGACTGAAGCCAGGAGCATCTTCAGCCTCATTTTAGTGAAAGACCTATGGTATTTAAAACTTTATTTTGCTCCCGTGTTCTGCAGTGTTGATTTAGACATTAGACTGAATTCACTGAAAGACTGCTTAATCTCACGTGCCTGAGCCAGACTCGAGATGGTTGAGGAATTGTTCAGCGATTTGTTCAATCAGCAGGCAAATGTTCATGTTACAGCTGGTACCTCTGCCTAAGTTTTCTCCGGCGTAGTTTGAACAGATTATGACATTTCTGCTAGAATCGCTAAAATTATTTCGGGCTTCAAAGGCGTATGTGAGTATCTTTGAGATTAAAAAAGCATAATTTATCAAAGCGAACTATGAAAGACAGTATTTCTAATCTTGGTACTAAACTTGTAAGTCACCACATAAATACTGTCCAGAAGCAAAATCATAATACAATAATTTTACTATATTTTAAAATATATTTTCTGGTGTGCCCCTCACAAGCAAATGTATAGTTTCAGGTGGTGTTATAAAGAGAAAATTCAGCTAATCTGGCTCCGTAGTTAAGTCATTTCACTGAAAAAATAGTTGTAGGGGAACTAGTTACGCATTTCCATGATGAACAGCACAAAACATACATGCGTTCTTTTAGACAAAAGTGACTTCTAACAGACATGGTTTGGGCATTTGCAGCTGGAGATGGATATGGAGACAGAGCATGAGGTGGTGTGGCACAAGCAGCTTTACGCACAAGTATTTGCAATGAAAGCCTGATTCTGGGACTGCTGCTGCCAGTACGCTACGTTTCTGCTGTGTGGCCAGTATGTAACTGCATGTTCCGGCCAAAAAATTGTGTCAATTCACTTCTAGAGAACCTGACAGAAAATATTTTCATCTTGAAGTGAAAAACAGACCTCCTCCCTCTTTTTTTTTTAAATACTATTTTTGAGGGGAAAAAAGAAGAGATGATTATGAAGGACAGCAGCAGAGAGATCGTCTGTCTTAGCCAAGTTTCATCATGGCTAATCCCATCCTTGGCTCGATTTAGGAGATTTAAATTTAATCCTGTCCTGTGCTTTCTCTTGCTTGCCCCACACTTTGACTGAAGCTAGGAGACCTCTAAGACACCTTAGAGACTGTGAAGCAAGTGGCTCCTCAGGTATTTGTGATGTTTGGGATGAATTCTGCTCCTATTTGTGTTCTAGATCATGCCTCTCATCATTACATAGATTGTTTGCCTGTATAAATTATAGTAGAACAGTATTTAACATATTTTAGCTTTTTTTAATGTTACTTACTAAGCCTCAGGTTAGAGGCTGAATGCTGATAGGGTATAACATACACTCTTTGTCTTAAATAACATTGTTGAATTGCTGAATGCTGCTAAATAGCAGTATCTGTTGCAGAGCTGGTTGTGCTTTCCTGGAAGAGAGTCACTCCATCGTACAGTTTGCCTTTGCTGGCTGCACTAAAGAAAATTCTTAAAACCTGAAAGCTGGCACATACCCTGTGTGGGAGGAAAAACAAGATTTACCTCTAGTCTGTCCAAGAGGAATAAAGTGTGCTGCACTGCAAAGCTTCTCGTACAGATTAATCCTTCCATTACGCATCTTATTACTCATCTGCTTAGGAAGGAAAAGGGGAGCGCTGGCCCTGCTCCTTGCTGGCCTTTTGTAGTAAAGGCAGGCAAACACGATCTCTTCAGATAAAGACAGGTGAACCTTCAAGACAGGGATATTCCAGCACAGGGGTCTGTTGAAAAATGCAATTATTTTTCCATCATATGTGAAAAAATTTCTCAACTGATGCATGTGGGGCAGGAGAGTACAGAGCCATGGGAGAGCAGGAGCTCTTTAGGAGGCCAGCAGCACTTAAGCCTGTGGTTGGGTTTTATGTCTTTTTTTTTTTTTTTTTAATCAATATGATTTAAAGCACAGTGTTAGATGGGGAGGCAGGATGTCTAAACCAGTTGTTTTTTTATATTTGCTTAATCACCTAATCTAAAAGGCTGAATTCTGTGTCTGCAAAGGCTGCTTCACACGGCGGGGAGAAGATGCTCTTTGCATAACAGACCTCTGCTTCTTGCTGTTGCTGTCTCTTGCAGCAGAAACCTCTTGCTTTTAGGGCATGCTCCGATGGCGTAGGCTACAGACACCTCATCAAAGCCAGTTCTCAGGGTATGGAGAGGGGTCAGGTCCACTTCTTGCACAAATAAATCTGCGCACAACCGCCTGGTCTGCGCGGGGCTGCTCACGCAGACCCAGTGTAGAACTTCACCAGCGTGTAACATCAGGATGT